ATAGTTATAAGCCCGGAATCGCATCCTTTTGCGCCTATTCCCTTTAAGATCAATCTTTAATCAAACCTTATCGGTTCACTCGCTTAATAAGCTAGTATAACATTTGTTTTATACGGCGGAAGGCTATCTATACTATTTCGAATATAGCTAAGTCTATAAAGAGATTAGTCGTCCTCAATAAGCCCTTAGATTAGGATAACTAGCTATACCTTATACGATCGCGTACAATAGCACTACGTATTTAGGAAGTAGTTAATCTATCTAAGTCTACTAAACCAGATTAACTTTAAGAACCTACGCTACCATCTTTACCTACTTTAGGAGAGGTAAATAGCTAGGCATAATTTTAAACTAAATTCACTATCTTTCGCTACTAAACAGCGGTATTCGATAAACGTAAGAAGGCTCTCGTAGATCTTATAACCTACATCTAAGAATCGATCTCAGTTAATAATCTCTCTTACATCATATCAGTTAAGACCCATCTATAGGACATCCTCAGAGCTCTATAAAAACGCCTAGCGCCTACGGATCAGGCACAGCTTATAGAGCTAGAGCAGCAATACCGTAATCTTTATAAAACCCCGAAGGCTCAATCAATCGACACATAGCTACAGCAATAGAAGAAGCTCTATACTAAAGTAAAGAAGCATAATCTTACTAAAGTATTAGGTAGCAGGCCTACTAGAGACTTTCTAAACGCTCTTAAGCCCATCGAACCTTAGTTTACAACCTTAATACAAGTTAAATTAATTAATAATCCCGCTTCAATAGCAGATCTATACAATCTCATCGAGAAGTTTCGCTAGTTCTATAGAACTAATAAATCTTAAAAGTTAACTACTAGTTCTTATTCAGCCTTCTAAGTAAATTTCTAAGGAAAACAGCTTAAACAGAAACCGCTCTACGACTACGGAAAGCATCACTTTTAGGATAACTACTACTACTATAATACAACGATCCGTCTAAGAACTTTTAAACCAAATCAGTTAATTCAGGCTACTATTTAAGAAAAGCTTAAAGATCTAAAGCACAAGAAGCGTATAGACGCTTCAATCGAACGAAAAAGGCGACTCAATTAAATAAAAGAGCTAGATCAACCTAAAGAATAAGAAGACCTATTAAAGAAGCAGAACATCGCCTTATTTCCTTCTCACTTCGCTTTATTTCTAACCGTTCAACACTCTCTCCAGGACTCATAGATCTTAGATTCTAGATTAAACACGCATATCTACAACCATATAATAGCAGATAGATTCTAACAATCCCGCAAGGCGACGTAAGGCGAATCACTTATTTTAGGAACCTATATATCTTTAATCAAGGCATAGGGAACTATATCTATTTCTATAAAGATAGAAAAAGACGAAGGCCTTATTACGCTTAATAACGTCGCATTCGTGCCAGAATTTATAACGAATCTCGTCTCTCTAAAGCTTACTATAGCTAAAGGAATCCACTAGGATACGCAAGCAATAGAACTTACTCTTCAGGATAGACATCTCTATAAGATCTAACCTTCTTAAGGATAATTTCTTCTTAAAAATAACTAACCGAGCTAAGATTAAAATCAGGCTTATTCCTTCTTCGCAATATTAATTCGAATATCGTCCGAGGAGAAATAGTATAGCACGCTAGCTCATACAAATTCAGAAGCAATCCAGCATCTTCAGGAAAATACTAAGGGCGTAGTTATTACTAAGAACCCGCCGACTCCTAACACTTTAAAATACAATACCTATATATTATTAAAATCACATAAAATCGTCTTAAGATCTTCAAGCAAGGAAGAGACCTTACAAGAGACGTTCTATCGCCTATCATTCGATCTCATCTAGATATAAAGAGGATACAACAGAGACAAGTAGATATCCCACTTTACCTACACGCAAAAAGGCTTCTATTTTATTTTTACCCATCTAAATAAGGCGGATACTTAGGAAATTCTTTAGTTTACTATTAAACTAACCAAAACTCGCTATAAGCAAAATATAGTATTCCTACAAACCGACGGAGAAAGAACTCTAGGTCTAGAGACGCATTCTTTTCTTTAAAGCAAGAGAATTACTCTCAAACTATCTACACTAAATACGCTAGAATAAAACGGACACGCCGAAAGATCAGGGGGTATACTACTTACTAAGGTAAGAGCTATAAGAATTAGCGTAAACCTCCCTAAATCGCTCTAGCTAGAAATTATTAAGGTAGCTAGCTATATTTACAATCGTACGCTACACAATAAACTCGACTAGAAAATACCTTTCTAGGCAGTTACTAGCAATAAGCTAAATCTCTCACATCTTCGTGTTTATAGCTACAGAGCCTATACATTAAAGAAGCATATAGCACGAAGCTAGAAGCTTATAGAACGTACTCACCTTAGACATCTTATTAGCTATAATTCTACAAATATCTTTCACATTTAGATCCCTAGTCAACATAAGGTTATTAGAACTAGAGACGTTATTTTTAATAAAGACGAACTCTACAAGCTAGAGGATCTAGATCTTACTCAACTACTTTAGGAAGAAGGGTAATAATTAATTTAAACACTAGACATTCCGCTACTTCTACAATAAGAAGAAGAGGATATTAAAGAACCTCTTATTCCAGGCTAAACTACCGTTACCCTAGGACGACCTCGTAGCTCAAGACAAATACCAGAAACTTAAGAACAACTATCAGATTAAACTAATCTAGGATTCCCGACCCTAAGCCTAATAGAAGACTCGATTCTCTTATAAGAATACTCCTTTCTAGAACTAGAGCCCGAAACCTAACCAGCTCAATCGTCACTACCGCCTAAACCAACTACCTTTAAACAAATACTTAAGCATCCCGAAGCTTAAGGCTTTATTATAGCTCTTAAGTTCGAACTTCGCAGTCTCATAAAACTTAATATATAGAAATATATCAATCGCAGCACAGCTACCCAAGCAAACAAGAAAGTTATTCCGCTTATATAGGTATTCAAGTACAAATTCGATACTAAAGGATATCTCATTAAATATAAAGTAAGACTCTACGTTAGAGGTAATTTATAGATTATAGAATAAGATACCTACGTAGCAACCTTAGTAGCACGTACCTTTAGATATCTTATAGCAATCACAGCCGCTTTCGATTTAGAGACAAGGCAGTATAACGCAGTTAACGCTTTTATTAATAGTCTTATCGACGAAGACACCTACTACGAACTCCTAGAAGGAATCTATCTACTCGAAGAATACTAAGATATTCAACTAGGTCTTATCCTTTAATTACTAAAAGCCCTATACGGACTTAAATAATCGCCGGCACTTTAGCATAATCATCTCTTAGTAACTCTACATAATCTTAGGCTCTCTTAGGTTCTAGAAGTTAACTATCTCTTCTAAAATAATTTTATACTACTATTCTTCTTCGTAGATAATATTACAGTTATCTATTCTTAAGGAAACGAATCCCACGTCCTACAATTCTAGTAGAAGATTCTCGATATCTATAATCTTCGAATTCTAGGAGAACTCGAATAGTTTCTCGCAATTAGAATTATTCGAGATAGGCCTTAGAGAAAGCTTTAGCTCTATCAAGATTCCTATATTAACAAGCTAGTAAGTAAATTCAATACCAACTTAGAGAAATATCCGCAAACACTATTACCCGTAGAAGATATTTAAGCTTCGACTTCTTAAGCTTTAGACTAGGAGATCTATACCTATTAATAAAGAATTAGATCGATCAACTTCGCTACAGTTATTACTAGGCTAGACATCGCCTAGGCCTCCAGCAAGCTCGTAGAACACCTAAAAAATCCGTCTTAAAGATACCTACAGATAGCTAACCGCGTAATTTAATATCTCGTTAGGACTAAACATCTAGCAATCGAGTTTAGTAGAATCTACAATAACTAATAAAGCGTATTCCTCGTATACAGCGATACTTTATTTACAAACGACCTAGATACGAGAAAGTCTTTATAAGAATACGTCTTTTAGCTATTCTAAGGACCGATCGATTAGAAAGCTATAAAGTAAAGAACGGTTACAACCTCTAGTACAGAAGCCGAATTTCTATTACTATTAACAACTACGAAAGAACTCCTTTAGTAGGAGCGTCTCTTCCAACAAATTCAATTCAGTCTAGACTATCACCTTTTCATCCAGTACGATAACAGGCAAACTATACGTCTACTCGAGGAGTCTACACCTAAACTCGTTACAAGGCTTCGACATATTAATATCTATTAGCATTAGTTACGCCAGGAAATTCAGAACCAATATATCAAACTTCAATAGACTCTATCAGCCGAGATAGTCGCAGATAGCCCAACAAAGGCTTTACCAACGTAAAGATTCCAACAGTTTATCAAACAGCTAAACCTCAGAAATATCAAACATCTTCTCTCAAGTACGGAATAGCGAATATTCCTTTACCACATCAAATTAGATTATTTTCTTTAGGTTTTTCTCAAACTCTTTCGGATTTTCTTATTCATCTCAGAAGCTTATTTCTTTTATCATAATAAGCATCAAATTACCCATCATAAAGGGGGTATATCAGCCAGGATCACTCCGATAACTCTCGTTTATCAGCCTTATTATTTAGTTGTTACACAACAGCCTTACCCCTGCACTACTCATTTACCACTACTAAAGAGAAAACGTGTTCTTTTAGATAGCAGTATATATACCTCCATAGGTAACAGTAATCTAGAAGGACAAGCGGCGTCCAATTCCTCGCGCCCAGCTTCACAGCTTAGATGCTCTTGTTCCATGGTAAAGCAAAGTGAAAGCAGTATATCGTTCGGTGTTTATAGAGCTGGCGCACCAAAAAAAAAAAAAGCCAAGTTCCTACCCGGAAATATCATCACCAATGTTGCTTTACCCACTGGTCTTACACCGCTTTTCGGAACATCTCACGGCCGACTACACGTCGACCTACACGATGGCTCTTATCCATATCCTCCATCCTATCATCTGCTCAGTTGCCAAAATGGCCGTCACGGAAACACCATCCATCGCTGTCACTCTTTGTCTCACCCCATCTTCTTTTCCAAAGGATATAGAACCGCTTCCGGAGCTATCAATCTCAGCCACCCTTCACGCCACTCAGCCAATCACCATATTTACCTGGCCCTCCATCTTCAATCCCAGTGTTGCGCTAGTGCGGCACAACTTCTTCGCCGAGGACCTTACCACGGGGGAACCAGTAAGGATGGACACGTCCAAGATAAAGCGCAGGGCATACATGCACCAGCGCGGAGATTTCGACGAGAAATATCACTTTACTCTGCATCCAGGGTCAACAACGGTTGTGTCTCATCATTTTCATCCGATGAGATTTAAGCCTGGTCACCAATATCGACTTGGTGTTACGGAAGGAGAGGCGCTACCTGATTGGTTGTGGTGGTGGGGTACCTTCGACGATGTCCTTAGTCCAGAAGAGGGCCCTCCGAAGGATATCAAACACTTGGAAGGCAGATTCCCGCTTGAGCTGAAGGCCGAGCCCATTGTGTTTACAGTGGAGGAGAACAGAAATTATGGCGAGCACAGCCCACAGTGACTGTAGTATCTTAAGAGAACCCTTTTCCCGTTTATTTGGTGTTACAATATGGAAGGCATGAATATCGGAATCCCAGCCCACCTCATTTTGCGTACATGGACATGTTATGGAACTTTAGAAGGGATTGAGTGTATGTATTATCTACTACAATCATAAACCCCCTCGCAACAGACTTCACCTTGTCCATTCATTTGCTTCGTCAACCATTTTCGTTTGTTCACTAGCCCGGAGAATCTACAGCCATAGCCCCAGTGCCACTCATCTGGAAACGAGGTCGCTCACGAAAGGTCGATCATTTCGACTCCGTTGTCGTCGAAAGTCGCCGACCCAGCACCATCTCCAGAGTCTTCGTCCGGCCTATCAGAACCATGAGCATCTTCGACTTCATCGCCCGTCTCAGCAGCCTCAATGCCAGCCTCCTCCACATATTCCTGAACAAACGTCTCGAAGTTCTTGTAGGGGATGGCGACGAATGCATTTTGCATCCTCGGGCAGACGGCTTTGAGAAACTCTTTCCATGGCATAAGCGAGGACAAGGGGATCTTGACTTCACCGTGAGGAAGGGTATCATCGTCTTCCAGTGGGATTTCATCGATGACATTATGTTGTGCGAGAGTCATGCCACAGTAGGTGTAGAGATAAACGTTGAGTTGTCTATCGTCTTCGGTGATGTCAGTGCGTACGACGACCGAGTCAATCATTTCATCGGCGGTAAAGTCATCGGTGATCTCTTCCGGTATCCCAGTGATCCGATGATCGATCCTAGCGATAGCGACAGAGACTCTTTCCTCGTAATGTTCGTCGATGGGGAGGTTTCTGATCGGACCATCATCGGTGTATTCGCAGGTGTTGTATGCATGCAAGTTGCAGCTGACGCCAATAGATGTAAGCTCAATGGTGAAGTTTTCGAGTTCCTTCTTGATAATGGCATTCAATTGGTTGCAAGCGTCTACGTGACCTTCGTCGGCCAAGTAGAAAGTTATCTTCTCATTCTCGGAGTCATAGTCGTACCTAGCGTAATATCAATCAGGTTCGAGCATCGTGAAAGGACTTCGCATACCTGAGGGCACCAGGAGAGTTGAGATCAATTCGATAACGATAGTAGTGGATGTTGGTGAGCTTCATCTTCAAACGATGACTTTCGGCATCGCCGCGGTTGCGGTTGGGGTGGTCGGCTTCTTCAACAGGTCTCAAGACAGTGACCACCCCTTCATAGACCTTGCCGAAGTCCAAAAGACGATCCATGCCGATGTCTTCGCGGAAGGCCGGCAAGGAAGTTTGGAAAGCCGGAGAAGGGGACTTGGTGGTAAGTAGGAAGAAATGGTGAGGGTCTTAGTGGTCAATAAGTAGATACACAATCTCGCTTACCGGCATGACTTTGGTATAATTTCGAGTTAGTCATTCACTGTTAGTATATTGTGTTGGGGGTACCCAGCATTCACTTTGCCAGTCAAGTCTACCGCCTACAAAACCTTCCACGCCCTTCCAGAACCTTCACCAGTGACCTCATTGCGCATGCACAGACCCAATCCCCAGCATATATAAACGCCGCTCCCCTCCCTCCACCTAGACCTTTCTTTGCCTTGTGGGAAAGTTCGATAAATGCAGTCTGTGTTCTCTACTCTACGGAGGAACTCGTTCACCGAACAAAATTTTGGACTTTGCGCGGCGGCTGCACGGCATCTTGTTGTGTAGTTGCTGCCACCGTGTCACCCGTATTGCACTGTTTCGGGTCGATGCAAACTTGTTTTCTAGAGGCTGGTTTCATTGCTGTGCTCGGCTTGTCTGGGCCTTCAAAGAAGTCGTTTGCTTTTATTTTGAAACTAACCTACGCGACTTCTGCACGCCCTCCTTCTTCCGTTTCCGCAAGTCCTAGACCCCCTTTCCTCTTCATGGTGTGAAACATTCTCACGCTGACCCATATCGAGAAAAGCAGTAAGAATCCCATGTGTGAGCATATCACAATGCCCCTCCAATTATAATTCCTATCCACATACCATAACGTTAAAGCAAGGAGAAGTGCTACGATTGACCAATCAAGCAAGACCAAAGGGAACCACAAAAGTGCATAATGCTTCTTTAACGCAGTATCATGCGACTCAAAACGGAACAAAAGCATTGTCCCTAGCATGATCGAGACAACTGCTGATATGGCGCAGTTGACAAGTAAGCCCTCCGCGGCATGATTTAGAGGAGTAGTTGTAGGATGGAACTCTGAAAACTGTAAGACTCCAATAGCCGCACTGCTTGTCAAAGCGGAAAGAACGTTGAGTGGTGTGATAAAACGAAAGAGACGCCGAAAGACGATGAAATCGCGAGGGGTAATATAGCCTTTACAGTAGTTAGCGGCACGTCCGCCAGAAGCAGTGCTTCGTTACCTCTTACCCTCGGTCATAGTACTGTCTGAGTCTTTAACGCTTTCTGGTGTATATGTTCGAACAAAAGGACTAGGACAGTGATTGCTGTTTGCCATTTCGAACAATTGACGCTTTTGTCCAGTGTTGATTGATGACAATGGCTATCATACAGAGAAAATTGGTAAACACTCTTTTATACGGAGGCCCGGCCGGTCCAAGTTTTTCGCCTTCCTTTTTAGGAATAGGTAGATACAGGGTGATGTTCTGGATGCATAAGCGAAATGGGGGCCCTCTCTTAAACGCTTTAATTGGCTAACTTCACTTAGCAGTCCATTTGGCTTACGCGTCCTGGAGAAAGAAAGGCGAAAAACTTGAACCGGCTGGGCCTCCTTACACCTCCATTAATATTTATAGAAGCTTGTACTACTGCAGATGAGCGTGAGCCATAACTGCCACGGGTGATTGGGAGAACGTTTGGCAACAAGGGCTTGCAGTGAGCTGCTTTTTGCATCTGGCTCAATGGCTACTTGTTTTTTCACCTGCTGCATGACGATAATAGAACACTGTCTCGTGATACCAGATGCAGGCTTATCTTGTTAAATAAAGAGAACGGGCTATAGTTCTTTATATAATTGGTCACATAAATAGCACAGCGTCGCATCGCGTATGCAGTAATCGCCCAGAGTAGAACTGGTGTAACCAATACGGCAACCCCGCACTTCCTGCAGCCTTTGTTTTTCAGCTGCCCCAATTCCTTCACTCCTCACGCTATTCAGCTTTCACAAACCTTTTACCTTCAGCACTCGCAACCCACAATGGATGGCCTTAGCGGCGCGGCCAGCGTTATCGCAGTCGTTCAAATTGCAGGATCCATCTGCACCCTCCTCAAAGACTACTATCAGGGTGTTCGTGATGCCCGCGGCGAAATCGAAACTCTCTACAAGGCTGTCAGAGCTTTGAATATCATTCTCAAAGAACTCCAAACCCTCATCAATGCCAAAACTATCGCCGAACCACAGGATCTACTGAAGGACTGCAGAGCTGATTTGGTATCACTCGAGAACAAAATTAGTCCAGCCGCTGGGGAACAGAAAACCCGATTGCGACTCAAAAAATATCTGAAATGGCCACTCAAAAGACAGGAGGCGGAAAAAAAGGTTGAAACAATAGAACATCACAAGTCAAGCATTGTTACGTGGCTCGGCGTGGAAAACCTGTATGTTTCCATCTTCAAAGGGACATTTGTTTTCCTCAGACATGGTTGGACGCCTGAAGTTGACATTAAATTCAAGGACAAACCAGCTACAGCAGTTGGATATTCTTGAAGACATCAGACAAGATATCAGGAGTGCCGAGGAAGAAGGAGAAAGAAGACGGGTAATCAATTGGCTCGGCGATTCCAACCCCTCCAAAGAGCTAAATCAAGCATTGAGGAAGAAGCAAGAAGGCAAAGGTACTGGAGCTTGGCTCGTATCATCGGATGATTTTGAGAAATGGATGATTACTCCTAACGCAGGCTATTGGCTCAATGGGAATGGTAACTATCATAAGACCCTTTTATCGGAAACCCGAGGCTGACAAGTTGCAGCTGGTTGCGGGAAGACAATCTTGAGGCAAGATTTTCAAAACCCGACCTTGATATGTTACTCCCATCCCTCACTAACTCATAAGTAGCTCGACTGTTGTGCAGACAATCCGAGACCATTGCAGAGGCAATCCACTGAAAGCTGTTGTCTTCTGGTACTTCACATTTACAGATCAAAAGAAACAGAATGTATCGGCTTTTCTCTCTTCAAGTATCGCGCAGATCATCGCCCATCGGAGAGAGATACCTACAGAGATCCAGGATGCCTACGATACCTGCAGCCAGGGAACGATGAGTCCAGACGTTGATTTATTATTAGAACTTCTTCGTTCAGTACTTCCGGGATTTGATGATATATACATTCTTGTTGATGCCCTCGATGAATGTCCAAAGCTGGACGGATCCAGGGCAGACCTGTTGAGCACATTAGCAAAAATCATCTCCTGGCAAGAGCGCTCACTACATCTGTTTATTACAAGCCGCAAAGAGAGTGACATCGAAGGAGCACTTGTTCCATCTCTCAAAGATATGACATCCTTTTGGATCAAATCACTTCAACCGGACGATATCACAGAGGACGTGGAGCTTTTTGTAAACCAGGCACTGGAAGAGTGGATTTTCAGAAGGTGGTCAGCGGATTTCAAATCCGAAGTAAAACAGACCTTATCTACCAGGACTCAGGGATCGTAAATTCCCCTCTCGTACATAGCTAATTCTCACTGTGTTGACGCTATGATGAAGGTTCCGACTTGTTGCGTTGCAAATGGAAGAGCTCCGGCGCAAAGCGATGATGCCAAAATCAAGGATCAAAAAGCTGCTTGAAAAAATTCCGGAAAGCCTGGATGAATTTTACGACCGAATATTAGGGGAGATCGATCCCGATTTTGTGCAACAGGCAATTATTGCTTTCCAATGGCTCGCATTTTCCGCTCGGCCGTTAAAACTCCCAGAGCTCGCCGAAGTGCTCTCAATTCATGCCGAGGACGAGTGTCTGGTGGATCCAGACGACAAACCAGCAGACAATTGGGGCGTCTTTGAGATACTCCCGAGAAGCATGGTTACCGCAGTGGAAGGAAAGGGCCCGAACAGATCCCTAGACGAGAGAATCACAGAAGTGTTCTCATCCGACGAGGCTCGGGAAAGATGGAACGGGAAGAACCTTGGTGTCCAACTTTCTCACTTCTCCGTTAAGGAATATTTTCTGCGAAATCGTGCCATGGATGAGCCGCTATCGAAGTTTCAATTTGACGAAAAGAGAGCCCACAACGTTATTGCGGCTGGATGTTTTGCTTACCTTTTCTATATTGCACAGAACTTGAACCTGGACACTATAGATAACTTCCCCCAGAGACCGTACTACAAACAGTACGAAGAAGATAGAAACAAGTGGGAAAAGTGTGTTGCAAACGACTATCCATTACTCGCATTCTCCGCAAAATGCTGGCCACTTCACGTTGAAATACTGGAGGCAAACGCAAACGAACGCTTGGAGTCGCTACTTTTCCGCTTTATGAAACGTGGCGAGCCAGCATTCCCACTATGGAGGGCGCTTGTATGCCATCGTAGGGGACTCCCTGAAATAGGTCTTCACAAGGAAACACCAATACACCTTTCGGAAAATTCCGCTCTGACACTCTGGTCCGATCATTGTCTCTCATACATGATTTGGCTGGGACTGGACCACGTTGTTAAATTGCTTCTTCAACGTCAACCGCCGCCTCATGAGCCCTCTTTAGAGCATTTCCAATTTCGGATGTCTGACAAGCTATTTGATAAGTCTCAATTACTGCTTGCCCAGGCTTCTGGTATTAATCATCCTTGGCTAATAGAATTTCTCCTCGACCATGGGGTTAACGTAAATTCTGTCATCTTAGTTGGAAGAAACTATCCCCCGAGTTACCCGAAAGAAGCAACAGCTCTGGTACTGGCGGCAGAGAGTGGAAGCTTTGAGGCGGCGAAGCTACTGTTCAATCGGGGTGCCAACGTAAACGATACTATCAGCAATTACGGTGATCCTGTGACAGCTCTAAAAATGGCTTTACTAAATGGATACCCACGCCTGGCACGGTTTTTGATCGAAAACGGAGCGCATGTGAACTTTCCCAAAGGCAAAAATCAAGTTCTACTTTACGCAGTTCGTGTTGGTCATTCCGCAACGAAGCTGGTTTTAGAAATGGGTGCAAGCGAAGACTCACAGCGACTTGCTGCAAGATACTTCTCTGCAAGATCCCGCGATAAATCTGGCATACCTGGCCGGAGCGAGTATTTTTCTGAAAAACTGAAGATGCTTGATGCATGTATAGGAGAAGTCTTTGGCGAGGACGCGCGCTCCAAAATCATGGTAAGACCATTAAAATTCTCAATCTGCTAAACCGAGCTAATATCTTCCAGCGGGAATGCATCTCCGATGAATGATTTCGTCTCAACAAGTTCGGCTCAACGTTCATTTTTCACTTTTTTCTTAAGCGATATCTCAGTGTTGTTTAGATTTCTGGGAATTTGGAGTACGGACTCAGCGTTTATCCTATTGCAATCAGAAACTAGATACTTCCAATGTAGTATCTAGTTGTGTGCGTATACTTGATTTGGAAGATGATAGTTCCTAAATTAACTCAAAGAAGTGCACATAAATACCAGAAGTAGTGTAAGTCGAGACAGTGTTTACACTAAGCGCAGGACTCACTTTAATATATAATTTGATTATATTTGTCGGCAACAAATAGAGAGCCACAAAATTTACTGCTACTCTGTTAGTTTGCACAGAGTTCAACGAGTCAAATAGCTTGATATTTTACTTTTTGTGAAGGAAAAGGCGGTTTAAATAGCTAAAAGGAGCAGTGCAAGTATCCTCTACATTTCCCAATTTCCGCATAAACAATGACACAACAAGCAATTATATATACCACCAATAACCAACAGCCCTTCCGCCGAATTAACAACAAGTTACAAACACAAGTCAAGAGACACCCCACAAACCCCACAAACACATTCCAACTCCGGAAACGATCGACGCCCACAACGGCGGACGCCAACCACCACAAACGACGAACCTCCGCCCGCCGCCGCAGACAGGCACCGGGTAGCACAAGAGTTTTCCCCACCCCGGCCGGCCGCAATCACGACATCACCGTCGCCGACGACGCAAGCGGCGTCGCCGCGCATCGCACTGAAGCCATTCATCAGCCAAACGTGCTGCTGCGTCTGAAATGAGCTGTCTTGTTTGACCACAAAGCCAGGGGAAGAGCTAGGGACACTGGGCTGTGCTGCGAGTTACTTGGGGCTGGCCACGACATACTTTGTGCAAACGGGCGACAACAAGGGCGAGGGCACAATGGCACATTCGATCGAGAAACCGCCGTCTATTGAAGACAAGCCGTCATTTTCAAAACCTCCATCAATCTCAGAAACACCATCAACCCCAAACCCTCCCACCTCAACCTCACCCCTACATCCACCCACCCCGCCCCCCCTAAAACTCGCCCTCTTCCAAATCCTCTCCTCACACCTCACGACCCTAACCTCCTTCGGGCAAATCAACGCCTTCAGCACCTTCCAATCCTACTACAGCACCACTTTACTCCCTTCTTACCCCACCTCCTCAATCGCCTGGATCGGCACCCTCCAAATCCTCTCCATCTACAGCCTCGGCTTCATCTCCGGCCGGCTAGCCGACAGCGGACATCTCCGCCTCACGCTGTTTACTGGCTTCGTGCTGCAAGCGGCGGGCCTCTTTGCTGCCAGCGCCGCGACGCGCTATTGGCAGCTGCTGCTGGCGCAGGGCGTGTGCTGCGGCGTGGGCATGGGACTGGGATTTACGCCGGGGGTGGCGAACGCGGCGGGCTGGTTTGGGAGGGGCACGGGGAGGGAGAGGTGGCGCGTTGTGGCCGTGTCGAGTGTGGCGTGTGGAGGCGCGACGGGGGCGTTGGTGTTTGCGGGGATGGCTGAGAGGTTGTTGGACAGGGTGGGGTTTGCGTGGACGATGCGCGCCATGGGGCTCGTGGTTGTGGTTTGTGGGGCTGTGGTTGTGGGGTTAGTGCGGAAGGCGCCGCGGATGGAGACGCAGGTGGAGAAGGAGGGCGAGGAGAGGGCGCCGTGGATTGAGTGGCGCGCATGGCGGGAGCCGGTGTTTGCGGGCTTTTGCGTTAGCATGTGGTTTGCGTTCTGGGGCGTTTGGATCGCTTACTACTACGTATGTCCCCTCCGACCTTCCATTCGCTTCCAATCTTGCACTAACACCCCTCCCTCCCACACACAGGTCCGTCCCTTCTCCCTCACAATCCTGCACGTCTCGCCCAACACATCCTTCACCTACCTCCTAGTCCTCAACGCGATCGGCATCCCCGGGCGCCTCGTCCCCGCCCTCCTCGCCGACCGCCTCCTCGGTCCCCTCACGACCTTCATCCCCGTCCTCCTGTGCGCAGGCATCTCGCTCTTCGCGTGGGCCGCCGTGCGCACGCCCGACGGCATGCTCGCGTTCGTGCTCGTGTACGGCTTTTTCGGCGCTGGCACCCAGGCCCTGCTGCAGGCTGCGCTCGCGAGCTTGTGTCCGGAGCCAAGGCGTGCGGGCGCGCGCATGGGCCTCGGCTTTGGCGTTGTCGGACTGGCCAGCTTGACGGGCAGTCCGGTTGGCGGCGCGCTGATTCAGGTGGCTGGGGGGAGGTATGTTGGTGCGCAGTGTTTTGCGGGTGCGGCTATGTTGTTGGGGTGTGCGGGGATGGTATGGACGAGGGAGAAGAGGGCCGGGTGGGGAGTGGGCGTGAAGGTGTGAGGAAGACTGCTTTTTGTTGTTGTCGTTGTTGCGCGATGGGATGAAGTTGGCGGAGAAGGCGGACTTGTGTAGTTCCCGTTCCGCCGCCCACGACGCGTTTTCCATGTCGCGTCACATGCGCGAAACCTACCTAGTTTTGTACCACCTCCATCACCACCACCACCACCGTCATGCCCCATTAACGCACTTCATTCAACAGAGATTTGGTTAGCATATACCCTCATGAGTACCTTCACCACCAGCCTGGCATGTCACTTATCTGCAGGCAGAAAAGCGCCAGGCAAGAAGACGGCTTTTGGCGTGTCGAGATTGGCTGTCCACACTACCGTGCCGCACTGTGTCCGCTGCAGCGCGATCGAAGACGCTCTCAGCTCCGTTTTGACAGACCCAAGGTCTTACCAGATGCCGATAAGAAAAATATTCTGCGAGCCGTAAAGAAAGACCCAAAATCACCTATGAACAGGCGTCGATTACTGCAACCGGGCCATTACGCACCACTTGGACGTTTACAACGCAATCCAGCTGCCCTAGACGCACGAGTATTTAGGCTAAAAGCCGAAACGGCATCGTTCGGCAAAGAAGAAGCAACTTCACATCATCCCGGCGGATATGGGATCCTTCCGTAAGAGCCTCTATATGATGATGGCTACCGGAACGCACTACCATCCAAGAAAAACCCAATAAATTCGAAGCAGTGAATGAAGCTGTTGCGTAGGGTCTGAGACAGCCGTAAGCACGTGCTGAGTTGTACCGATGATAAGATTAGCGAAGTCGGCAGCGCTTAGATGCTGACGGGGGATACAGCCGAATCCCCACTGCGCACGCTGGTCCCTCAAATTCTAGCCAACTGTTGGCAGCTGGAACCCATCGACGAAGAGGCAGAGAGGGAGGCGGCATATCCATACCGTGGGATGCCTGGCCGTCAACGTCCCCCAGCAATGACGCTGGCAGTGATGGCCGTGTGGGGTTGAGGCAGCGGGATTCACCTGCGGGGTAGCCGTCCGGTGGAGGCCACGCAGCGAATATTGTTAGTGGAGGGCACACCGCTGGCTCGAGCCTGACGATCCGACGGGACGGCGCCAGCCGCACCCCCTCCCTCTCCCCCCGCTGCCACCACCAAGACCGTGATACAGATGACTCTCAGCTCGCTCTGGCGCCCCCTATTCTTAGGCCGACCAGCGCAGCAACAACTTACATCGGGCTGCTGGTCGATGCCATGGCGGCGAACCAATGGCAACTTGAGAAAATGACGCAGAGCCGCGAGTGGCAAAAAAGAAAAATGCAGGAGGCGGCGGGATTCCGTGGCTGCCAGCACGCTGCACAGTAATTGCTGAATCCTGCCATGGGTTTCGGACCGATAACACAAGCTGGCTCGATAAATTGAAACAGATGCAAGAAAAGAGGTGACACATGATCGTAGGTGGCCTGCAGGCGTGCATAAGGCAGAGGGATGCTGATTGTCCGCCAGTTGCTTTGCTGGATTCGCTTGTTACCGGAAGGATTTGCTTCAGACAATCTCTGCTGACGTGCAAGGCTGCCGATGTGCTGGGTTGCGGCCCAGGAGGTGCCGCGCACCTCAGCCTCGATCACGATCCATGCGACCGATGAACCCATGCGGCGCGCAAAACTCTGCACTCCTTATCGCCGACTCACTGAGCGCTGCCTGGGAGTGTTGGCGTTCGTGTTTGACCGACCTTTGGGAGGGCGATGTATGCCTCCATGGAAGCTCCAGGCGCTGCGCGTTAGGCGCAGGCAGGATCGAAGTTGTGTTACCAGCACCCGCTGACCACTTGGTCCCTGGTGGCCGAGGGCAACCACAGCAGCACGAGGCAGTCGATCTGGTCAGGCACGCTCTCTGCCAAACGCCGAACCTTACCCCGCCGCACTGCGGCTGTTTCCGCTTTAGTTGAAAGTATTGAGATCAGCGTTGTGCACTGCCCTGCGGCGTCCGGACATAGCCGCACGAGGTCCGACGAGGCTGAAAAGGTCGCCGGTATACATAGGTCGCCGACGACGCATCGCGCGGACTCTGATCTGAAGCTCTTCTTCCTTCGCTTTTTACTTCGTCTTTCTCGACCACCGTTCAACAATGTTCGCCTTAACTTTGGAGTAAAGACGCGACAGGGATCTTTACCCAAGGCTCTCTTTTTCACATACATGTACTGACGTGTGGCCTCTCAAGTCTGCATTTCCCGTACCGACAAATGGCTTGGAAGTCCTCCAGCACATCTGGGATTGCCTGTGGCGGGATCGGTCGGCACCAGCATCACTGCTGCCGATTGGCAACATTACAAGCTTTTCGTCACTGGTCAGCGCCACGTCCGCGTACATGGTATTGACTATTATCATCGAATAGTAGCATACTATGTTTCAGAAGACTGTTTCAGCCCAATCCTGCCTGCATGTAGTGTTGATATGCTTCTCCAAAAAGCGTCATACGAATAACACTGCGAGGGAGTGATGGCAGCAACTGCACAATCCCTCCGCCGAGGGAGTCGCCAGACCGGTCTGCTTCCCGCATGAATCCCGCCTGCAACGGCATCGCCGTATTTAATCACCTAGAGACATTCGTCAACAGACCGCTGACAGCTACACTCGTCCTGAGCAGACCTACTTCGTTTCAGGTCTCAGTTTTCTGTCTTGTCCACCTCTTCTACCACTAGGCAATCTGCTGCGGGTTCAGCACCTCTTTGACGACCCGGCCAACAAGGGTCTAAGACTCTGACGAGAACAAGCTACTTTGAGTTACTAGATGCACCAGGTACATCCCCCTCGATGGTGTACACCACCGCACTCCATAAATGATGCTAACGTAGAGACAATAGACTCCCGTTGCCGCCGACATTGGATAACAACGGCATTCGTCGCTTCACCATCATGCCTACACAGGAGCAAGGCGAACGATTCGTGATGATCGTACTGCACATCACAAACCCGGGGAACAACGGCGGAGCGCCTCAATTCTACCCTTTTTGGGTGATTAGCACAACTGCTACTCGCATGATCCAGAACCACATTGGGAAGAAAGCAAAGGACGTCCTAAACGAAGTGGAGCGCCTGATGGACCCCACAACGTGCGACTGTCTGCAGCAGCCCTCTTCCCATTACTTTGGGCCTGCTGGTATCACCACTGAGCCGGGTCACTCTGCAGTACAGACCCAGCGCTCTGAGCCAGCTCATGGCATGCCAACAAATTCCGTAGAGTGGGACCTTGAGAGCGTCGAGCACGCTGACATTGGATGGTTCGATAACATTTGCTCCTCACCTCCAACAATGGAGCACATTACGCCGGACTATGGCAGCAGCACGCACTTTGGAGTGTTGGACCTAAACAATGGAGAGAAGTTTCTCCCCAGGAGCACTATGAGCAGCGATGACAGTGCTATCCCCTCCATGAGCGTCTCTGGGAGGAGCACCCGTCAAAGCAGCAGCAACATTGGGGCGGCGACCTACACACCCATGACTACGCCGGCGAGCAGCCCCACGAATGACGGTTACATTTGTCGCCTTTGCGGCGCAAACTTCAGCACACTTTCGAACTGTTATAGGCACGAAGACAGCTCTTGTAAACTGCAATCGGAGAAACGGACCTTCAACTGCCGCAAATGCGACAAGTTTTTCACACGGAGACAGCACCTGCAGGACCATGGGGTCCGGGAGCACGGCAACGGAGCGCAAGCCTTGGACGTTGCGTGGGGCATTCAGTACCCTTATCCTTCCTGAAGGGATGGAAATCCCTAACGAAAATCTTCAGCCACATCCTTGCTTCTTTCCCGCTTTCCAGCAACAACTACGCATCCGGGCTGCCTGGTCAACCTGAAGTTTCGTCTACTTTCTGGGGCTCTGGGTACAGTGTTGTGCGACAGAAAGCGATGCAATGTACGGGCTAGGAACGAACTTTACGAACTTCGTTCCTCTCATCGAAACTTGAATATTCCTGGATTATTCCTAGTATAGCAATTTACTCTTTCTCTCCATAAGTGCCTGTTTGCACAAGTAACAGTCTTCAAGAGATGAAGTGACGTTGTTGCCTAGCGGGTAACTACACCACGTAGCGGCAGGCGGGCAGCCAGCCAGTCATTACCTGTGCGTGTGTTGGCGGCGTGTGGCGAACAGCCACTGCATCGCTCTATTTAGTAAAGCCGGCCTAGGGCAGCGTGACATGCCACTTGGGGAAAGCAAGGGGGAATCCACGGCGTTCGGTTGCGCCGGAAGCGATGTGAGCGTCGGCGGGGCCGCCAATGGAGCAGCAGCCTACTACTCCTCAACGGGAGCATTCACCCAATGATACAGAACTTATACGGCGCCGGTGGGCGCTTATGCGGAGCGAGCGGGATTGCGGGTACGCTGAAATTCGGGAATACGCAGAGGGATAGAAGAATAATCCCTCCGGTCCTTCGGACCGACTTCGATTGACGGCCGCCACTCATCCACGATGCTGGAAAACGCCACATGCGAGTGACCGGCTGAAGGATTCGTTGGCATTCAGCGTGGCTGCGGTATGCAAAAAATACCCCTGCCCTGGTTGACGTTGCTGGCTCGGATCTAGCCGGCTGGGCTACAAACGAAACGACGGTGAGGGGTGCGCGGGGAATGATGCACACCCTTTCCTCTACTACATCTCACCGCTCCTTCTTCTTCCCTGTGTTGGCTGGCCGTTTTGGAGCGGCGGGATTGTGTGTGTGCGTATGTCAGGCTCGTGGGTGCACACGAGTACGATTAGATGGAATCCCTCGGCTGGCACCAGAAACGTTCATGATCAGTGCTTGTCATGTTTGGTATCATTTGTAGCGCTTCCAATGGTGCGGACACTCCAGTCTGGGCTTCGAAATCGTAATTCGTAGCCTCTATGAACAGGTAAAGATAAGCTTTTTGCAGCAAGGACATTTCGTACTCCCCATTGGCTCCGTTCCACTCTGATGTACGAAAAAGCCAGGGTAGGGAGGTTCCTGCGAACATAAAATCTCGCATAGCTAATGGTAGAGGGATCTTGTGCCCCTTCGTCAGAGGGTGAGAGGTTTATTTTGAAACGGCACGTTCCCATCCTTGTGCGACAAAGAAAAAAAAAAATAACGTCATGTGACACGGAATCGTCAGCGTCGCTCGCGATCCGATGTCGCACCGTCGCCCCCTCTACGACGTATTCCTATCCGGCCAGCATTTCAAGCCTGGCTGCTAGGTATGGCCATCAGTCTGACTCCCTTATCGCTGCCATCGCAGGGACGCTGACTTCTGCAGATCCTGTCGGGATGTTCCAAGCTCTTGAAACTATGCGCCACCGCGCGTCGTTGTCGCATGTCCTAAGTTCCATGTCCGAAGCCAGTTGGTCACTGGCAAGTGCCGAACGAAAATCGTTATACCGGTTCTTTGGAGACATGGATATGTACGGCCTCATTTCGCGACGGTCTGCCTTCATGGCGCAGTAGGAAGGAGCACAGTGGTGTTAACTTGGCCATGAGCATATACCGAACAGCTCTCCTATGTGGTACGGCTTCAAGCGTTGCTTTTGCGCCAAATGCTCTTCGGATGGACGAAACCTGGCTGGGAGATCAAAACGGAGGAACAGTTCGGTATCGCTTAAGAAGAGCTGTGGAAATCAAGTCTTTGATGGGGTGCAGAAAGTAGTGGATAGGATGAGGTACAAATAGAGAGGTGCGATGATGTTGAGTTTGGCTAAAGCCACACTAGGGATGGAACAGTTGATCTAACCCGCCGTTCGCGGCCGACGATTGGTGGGTGGATCCTGTACTGTAGCTCCACCCATCCTTTGGGTGGGGTCATTCACAGCTCGCCGCGTGCTCTGAGCGCCATCATATCCTCTGAACGACTTTCCCAGAGGGATCTTACGTAGTACACAACAGCCCCAGCTACTTGACCTAATGGCTTAGAATTTGCTGACTAGCTGTTAGCCACAAAGTATAAAGGCAATCTCATCGACCTTGCTCGCAACTTCAACCTTCAATTTCTCAAGACAAATATCAGTAATTACGTGGAACAGAACATCAAGAATCTCCACCAGAAGCCAAGATTACACTGGATCAAAAATGACAGCAAATTACGATATGCCACAAGAGCCCTCTACCTCGCACGACTGGGCTGCCAGTGGGTTTCCTCCGCAGCCAGAAGACCTATTCACATACCAGTCCAAGCAACTCTTTGAGCCAACAACACAACAAGCAACAGCAACTTCATGCTCACCGATCTTTCCAGTCAATTCCGAACAGAATGGTTTTTGCAACTATTGCCGGGATAGAGCCCTCGACGATGATAAACAAGGAGGATACGTGCGGCCACCGGAATATACGGGAAAAAGTTTGGAATTTTCGAAGTCGCATTTACGTTTAAATTACGAAAGCCGTCCCTTTTCCTGGGTTAAAAAGACGGCAAAAAGTGGATGCCGTCTCTGCCAGTTGATAGTACGCTCATTTGAGAAGTATTGTGAACTAAATTCGAATCGTGTAAACCGATTTGAGATTGTAGCGGTGACAGGAATGAGCTATCGCTGGGTAGACGGCCTTCAAAGCCTTGATGTCGATTTTCATTATACGCAGCAGCAAAATGGGGTGCGAAGACGCACAATGGCGTTTCCAATCACAGCGCATTGCGGTAAGACTTGGAAAGACTCTCCTTGGCTTGGGTTCAAAGCTAAACAAAACCACAGGTTCCAGCACCAGCTGGTTAAGAATTCAGAAGAGACCACGCTTTGAACGTCTTCTTGCGGAAGACGGTGAACGTCTTTCACAAGATGTTGACAATATGCTGAGGGACATGGTCCAGATTTGCACTAAAAATTGTGACTGGAAGACAAAGCCTACGGTATTACCTAAAAGACTTCTTGATCTTAAAGGAACCAAAAATGGAGCCGAAGTTTGCCTAATTGAGGTCGAAAAATCCTATCATGTGAAGACGGAATGGAAATACGCAACACTAAGCTATTGCTGGGGGTGTGCAGACAAACATCTGATCAAAACCACGAAAGCGAATCTTGGCAAAATGACCGCAGGAATATCTGTTAAGAGACTACCACGGAGCTATCAAGATGCCATCATTGTTTGCCGCACCCTTGACATACCATTTCTTTGGATTGATGCTCTCTGCATTATTCAAGACGACGAAGAGGAGTGGGAGTTGGAGGCGCAGAAACTAGCCCGTCTTTACCAGCAAGCGTTGATCACAATCATCCCCTCAGCTGATCAATCTGCCTATGATGGCTTCTTAGAACGTTCTCTTCCTGCACGGCATCCTGTGAAAGTAGATTTTCACTCGGTATTGAATCCTGGAACCAACGAGACCTACTTCATCAATGAACCTGATTTTTCCGGCACACCACTTTTCTATCAGGACACTGCCAAAACCAAATGGGGAAACCGGGGTTGGACGTTTAATGAGCGACTCTTCTCTACCAGAAGACTCTATTTCGGGGCGGAAACCATTCACTGGAGTTGCAGAGGATTCTACATGTCCGAGGTCGATAACAAATGTCAAGCACCGGAAGAATACAGTCTAAAGTCTTTGACTTGGGAGCCCAACCTCAAAGAGTCCAGCCTCAAAAAACACGGCATCGAGGCCGGGGAGAACATCTACTTTTTCTGGTGCAGCCAGTTCCTCGAATATTCGTGCCGGCAGTTTACGTATTGGAACGACAGGCTGCCCGCGATATCCGCGTTAGCAAGCTTCATGGCCAATATCACCGGAGACAAGTGGCTGGCCGGCATATGGGAGTCGGACTTGCACATCGAGCTACTTTGGAGCGCGACGAGATTCCGTGGCCCTGTTTTGCTACCTGCATCTTCCGAGTATATCGCACCGTCATGGAGCTGGCTCGCTCGCGCCCAAAATGCGGAAATCAGCCATATCAGCATCCAGCAAAACCTCTCGTTCATTACTGTGCTGGACACATGTATTAAACCCGATGGTGTAAACCCTTTTGGCCGGGTTCGGGATGGTTACATCACGTTGGAAGGAATAGTCTGCGCTCTGTCCGCGGAGAATCTCCACAGCGTGTCGGACGAGAGGAACCCTATCTACCAGGAGATCAGATGGGAAGGCCGCTACGTGGGCGACTGCGCCTTTGACATAAACATGTTTGATGACGACGAAGAAGAAGGAGATGAAGGTGCCGATAAAAGTCTCCTGAATGCTGAAACATTCGTGTTGCTCCCAATCAGAAATGGTCTCTGCCTTAAAAGAACAATATCCCGGGCTGCTTTGGAAAGGATCACCGAGAACCAAGTGCAGTCTACCTTATCAGGCCTCATTCTGGTTCCTAGTGGCAGGATTGACAACACGTTCTGTCGTGCTGGGATCTTCGAATCGCCGCCGATTGATAGTGGAGGGCCTGTTTTCTTTGAGCGCTGGGCTAAGCAAACGATTACAATCATTTAGCGTTTAGTCCATTTTTGGTCTTTGAGACCTCTCCTAATTTTCCCCAAAGTTTGTTGAATACCAACGCTCTTCCCTAGATGTTTTTGTTTATATATGTCTATATTTAATTTATTTTTTCCTGGTTTTGTTTCCCCCAAAACACCCGTAACTTCGTAAGTCTACAAACGACAAAACTGAAACACAAGCCCGAAACGAAATTATTTAAGACATGTATTACTATACGAAATGCTTTCCTAGGTGAACAGTATAACTTTTCACATGGAATAATACTCTAAGCGATGTTCCTCCGTATTTCAACTATTCTGCTGCCTGAAGAGCGTTAAACACCATAGAGTACCGAGCCTCTTAGACACCTACACATCTATTGCGGTTATGCCAACCGCCGAAGCCGCGCTAGTACAGTCACTAGCTATTTTTGGGCCGCTGGTAAAGATAAGGCGCTACGGGGCTTGCAGTTTTGATCCAGCTGCGAGATTTAGAGAGATAGAGTAAGGGACAGGGGACTTATCTAGATGCATGAGCTTTAAGGATGTAGTTGTCTAACTTTCATCCGTAGTTTAAAGAGTTTAGTTGACAAGCAGTAAGGAATATCTGTCTTGTGGCCTTCCAAGAATTAATGTTAGGCACGACAAAATGTATCATCAAACACTTAGGTTATACTCATTAAAATTCAAACTATCTATCACATACGACCACAGGTCATAGAATACTGGGCATCCCGTCCGCTCTGCCATACATAAGCTATGAACCGGCTGATCAGTAGTTAGGTGGGTGACCACTAGCGAATCCCAGCTGTTGTATGTTTTTGCTCTTTATTTTTGCTCCTTTGCTTTCCCGCCGTTTTTTCCTGCTCACAAACTCCCAAAGGCACCAGTTCTGTTTTTCCTAGGGCCTCATCTCTTCCTTCCGGCCCTTTAAGTTCGCCTTCCGCCCCCTCACACCCTCCCTCCACCACCACACCCCCGCAAACACAACCTCCGGCCCCACTCCCACAGCCCCGATCCCAGCGCCCACGCCCACAGCCGCAAAAACCGCTTCTCGTCGTCGCCCACCCGCTCCGCCGCAGCTCGTACACGCTGTACAGGTACCAGAGCACCGTCGCAGTGTTGTAGATACCGAAGCCTGACGGGTCTGCTGCCAGTGAATGCGCGAAAGTCGGTTCTTTTGGGAAGAGGAAGTGCGCGATTGTTGCGAGCGTGAATATTGCTGCGTATGCGCGCCGTAAGGGGGCGATGTCCGCGTTTGTGTAGACGGCTAAGGGGTCGGGCTTTTTGCCTCGCTCGAGGAGGTACGAGATGGTGCAGGTGAGTGTGGCGATGAGGATGGGGATCAGACGGTTGAAGGCGAGGAGGGCGGTTGTAGTGGGATTTTTCACGTATGTAAAGGCCGGGAAGAGGGCGATGGTGTAGGCGAGCATGGTGGTGGGGAGGATGGCGCGGGCGACGGAGACGGGGATCGGGCGCCCTGAGGCGCGCGTGTAGAGCGGTTGGTGCGTCGTGTATGTGCTTAGGAGGTAGTAGATTGAAGTTGGGAGGGCGGGGGAAAGGATATAGGCGGGGAGAGTGAAGAGGGGGGGGGCTGCATTTGTGGTTAGCTAGTTGATATGACTTGTTTGATGGTGTGGAGCTTACAAAGAGATAGGGCCAGCCACATTAGCAGCGCGGTAGGCCTCGATCGTCCAGATCAGGATCGAAGGAAGAAGAGCCGTATGCCTATACACCTCCGTCGCATCCGTAGACAAATTTCCCAAACCTGCCAGTAACCCCCTTTCTACACCACCCATCTCCGTCCTCGCAACAACCACCAGCCTCGCAAACACAACCCCCGCAACTGACGCACTCACTTCCTTCCACTGCAACGGCCTCGCAGGCAATTCATCCAAGTAAGGCTCAAACCGCGGCCTCTTCGGCACAAGCAGCATAGGCAAGCTGGCGCCGCCGACGAACGCGTCTGAGAACTTGCCTAGCGCACCTTCCACGCCGAGCAGGGGCACGTAGAGCCGGGCCATGAGCTTGAGAAGGGGCGTTTCGAGCGCTGAGAGGCTTTGCTCGGCGTGTGCTGCTCTGACGAGGTCCTGGACGCGGGCGAGGCGGAGGGATTGCGTGGTTTGGAATGCAGCGGAGAGGTCGGCGGTCGTGGGAGTAGGATGTTGGGTAAGAGTGGTCATGAGTTGCGTCACAAGTACTGCAGCTGTTTCGATCGCGTTGGCGCCACCTTGGCCGGAGATGGGGTTGAACTGAAAACGAGGATGGTTATTTGGAGGTTACAGTGAATGACGTCTAAAAGGGGAGCTTACCTTGTGTACCGCATCTCCAAGGATGAAGATCCTGTCGTAATGCCATTTCTCCTGCACGAATTCAAGAAGCGCGGTCAGGACTGAGGCGATTTTGTTCTTGTAGAGGTCGCCAAACTTGACGAGGTTAGTGATGGGATCGTCTTTGAACTTTTCCACGAGAGCGTTCTCTTCCTCCTTCGAAAACACGCGGGGGATCTCTTTGCCAAGACCGTGCAGTGTGCGGTCGCACTTGATGAACAGGAACCAGTAGATGCGGCCTTCGGGGCCACCGATGACGACGTGGCTGCGTCCGTGGCCGAGGGCGTTGTAGTTGGCTGCTGTGATGTAGCTCTCTGTTGGGCCGGAGATGCCGAACACGCAGAGGTAGTCGCATTTGATGTCTGGATCGGGTTGTTAGGGTTTCTGTTTCACTGATTTTTAGAGCTTGGGAAGCTGTATGTACCGTCGGCAGGGGACTTTGCAAAGTACCCTGGAGAGAGCTCATTGCCCAGCCGCCACATCTCTTGCCTCACCGCGCTGTGCACGCCGTTTGCGCCCACAAGCATGTCGCCAGAGTAAATAGAATCGTCTTGCGTCGCGACTTCGATACCTTTCTCTAAGGTGTTTACTTTTACGACCTGCTTGTGGAGAAGGACTTTGGATTTGGCGTTAATGTGATTGTAGAAGATCTCTAGGGCCATTTGGCGGTCGACAAACACAGGATCATAGCCATGTCTGCCAATTTTATCATTATTCGTCATGTTGCTTTGGCCTGTTCTCTGGATGCCAATTTACCTCAAAATAAAATGTTCACTGAGCTTATTGACGTGACAAAGAACACCTCCTTCGGGCGTTCTTAGGAGCATATCGCCCATGGGAATAGTGATTTTTGCTCGGAGGTCATCGTAGCATCCGAGTTGGTCCAGAATGCGCGATGCGTTGGGAAACCAGCCAATGCTCGCACCTACCTGCGGTGCGATTTTGGAATGCCCCTCAAGAACCAAAAAGTCGATGCCGAGCTTTTCTAGCATAATCGCTAATACCAACCCCGCTACGCTGCCGCCTGCTATTAGGATCTTGAAGTCGTGAGCCGCCATCCAGTGAATTGAAGGGGGAGTCGTTCTGATGGTATTAAAGGAGGTAAGGAGTACGAAGACCCGCAAAAGAAAACGGAAAAGTTAAAGAGGCAGGGTCCTTATCACCTCATGCAATGGGCAAGATAGTCATCTTACAAAAAAATTCAGCCGTCCAAACTCCAGAGGGTCATTCTACCGGAAGTCCGGGGAGAGTCTTCCCGCGCCGCGTCTTAGGCGTTAAAGGAAACAACCCCGTCCTTGCGCATTTCGTTGCCGGTTCTCGCCGAGGGTTGACTCAGTCGCTTGATTTTCTGATACCCCGCGTTTCACAAGTGCGACGCGGGGTCGTGGAGGCCGTTTTCACCGCACCATTAAACCGCGAACAATACTCTGGTCATGGGTTATGTCAGCCCCGTGAGTGATAAGGATGCCTTAACTGAATGTTTACTCTTGTTTTCACGGTGTAATGCGTGCCTGAGCGCCGTAAAGTCTCTACTGTAAGCGGAATCTCACGTTAGACAATGCCGAAGAGAGTATTTATTCCGCCTTAACGATATATGTACGACTAGCGAAGTTCATCGGTCTTTTGGTTAATGTCATTTTAGCGCTTACCTAAATTTGATAGTCCCTGTTTGAAGCTGTTTTTGATTGGTGCCATGACTGTATTAGCACGGAACTTTCATTGTTGCGAATTGATAGATCAACATGATCCATGATTAAGCTTTATTGTAAGCTGCACTTGTCGGGTTCAATCGTGCTGATGTTCGCAAATAGCGGTTGGTAGAAAACCGCTCCCAACGCTAAAGTCACTACTTTGATTTCCGTTTGGAGCACTTGGATTAAACAGAAATATTAAGTCTAGCGTTGACAAACAGTATAATTCGGTATGTTATTCAGTTTTTTATCTCTGACTTTTCTATGGTTTCATCGTATGGGTACTAGTTCTCTACTTTACACACTAACTTTGCAAACTATGTTCTAAGAAACGCAATTGTTCCCAATATAATGCTGTAGCAAGTACTAGGAGGATCTAACGTGTAGAATTATAATGCTTAATATCGGGAGTTATAAAGTAGCATTCTAAACTTTAGACTTTGAGCGAAAGCCTTACACACGAAAGGAGAAACATACAGTTCAAACTATTATAACAGTTGCAAGACAACCTAAGATACGTATTATGGGATAGTTTTGTTTAAAAATCTCTAGTAAAAGTAAAGACAATAAACGCTACTATGATAATTTAAAAGATATCATTCTGTTATTACTTATAGTGAGGCAGTATTCTGCTAATTCTGACTCTGTCTCTAATCTATTAAATGTAAAGTTTAAAAGCGACTACGGACCTGTATATTCTATTGGAGTAGTACTCCAATAAGCAGTTAAAGAAGAAAAGGTTGAAAGATACTAGAGAGAATATCAGCCTTCAGTGATCGGAGCAAAAACCACTTCTTCCCTTAGACGAGGAGTTATGCTTAACGATGACGACGTCCAGTGTGGCAACCTTGAGCACCAAATACCGGAGAGCGGCACCTTCACCGTACTCTCCTTCGCGGCATGGGGCCTGCACGTCTACCTCCTTGCCGAGCGCCGGTGTGGCTTCACGCCGGGGAAGCCCGGGTGCGCGCTCGTGAATGTGGCGAACTCGCTGCAGTGCGGGAAGCTTCACTTGCCACTGCATCTTATTATGCAGCCTTTGGTGGTGCCGGGAAGCAGTCTTATCTTTCGTATTTCTGCGACCGGCGCACGAGCAGCAGCAGAAATGGGCGGAAAAGAAGGCTTAGATGGGAAAAACAAAGGAGAAAGAATGAGTGGGGGGCAAGAGAGCTTTGTGTGCATCCGTTTGCTAGCCTTGCTTGCTGCATCAATCAATTGTTTGCCATCTCATCGCGATTGCGATTCCGTCATGCGTATGCGACTAGATTAAGAACAATGGACACCCACAGGGGCTTAGTGTGCGGGAGCCATTCAATTCGCTACTGCAGTAAGCGCGTATCTGCTGTGAAATCTCAGCGCAGCAATTTGTGGGTTTGCAGCAGGGGCGGGTCCTTGTGTTAGCGGGGATATGCATGTTTGGCCCGGGTAGTGACGCAAATTCCAGCATCCGAACGGTGGGGCTGGACAAGGATATCGTCGACATTGCGTGTAGTGTTGATAATTCACTGTTGAAACCACCACGGCAAGTGACCCGAGAGAGAAGTAGGTTGTTGAAGTCTCGATCTTCATTTTACTCGATAGACGTGGTTCTTAACTTTTCTGGTTTTTGCGTCTTATCTCATGTCTTTTATGAATCTTGGGGCAGTGGCCTTAGAATTTGCAGATGTTCAATTCCGTATTTTGAAAAATAATTCAAGAAAATGTATGAGATATTTCTGAAAGACACGTTAATATAATGACACGACTCTTTATTATCCCCTTGATAGAAAACTCTTTATACCACGCAAGGGTCTCAAATCACCCCAGAAATTTTATTTTCACGTTAAAGACGGAACGTTTAACAATATGAGGCAACAGTCCTTAAACCATACCCTGTACCTACCATTCTTCAGATTATCCATTTAGACTCGCTTACTCCGATTTCGTTCATTACCCCACCCCACCGTGGGAAAAATTTCCTTGCCTCGCACAAACAACTTCAAACGAAGTCTTGATATTTGATGGCAGACTCTCAAAAGACTTTAGCGCCAGTGTAAGATAGCGTGGCAGGAATAGTGTGTGCTGGCCACCTACCTAAGTGCCGAAGGTTACGGGGGTCCAGCTGTGGCGCGCCGTAAGTGCTATAGACGAGGCAGCTTGGCTGAGTAGCGCAGTCGCGTTGCACCGCTCTGCGGGGCTACGTAAAAAGTCCGAACGGTGGAGCCTGCATATGTGCGTGTTATATGCATGTATATTAGATTTCGGGACAGGTTATCGGGTGCGGGGTTTCCGCGCGGGATTTGCAATTTGCACGATAAAGTCTTGCGCTTGCAGGGGTGTGCGCGCCGTCTTGATAGTTTATGTACATACTACCTAGGCGTGTGAATTGTTTTTGAATTCAAATCTAGAGATGTGGTGTTAGAATCTAAGTTAAAGCAACATCTCTCTTCGTGCATTGAGTATACGACTGGAAGAGACCTCTTTACAAGTGAAGCTTTAAAGCAACTCAAACTTGTAGAGAAGGAACCCAGCAGCTGCCAAGATGGACGACGATCGGTTTGATGGTTCTGTTGAGAACTTTATTTTATTGACGTTAAGCTTTTTTGCTTTCGTTCTTGTAGCCTTTGTCCTCATAGTACCGCCCAAGAGCGATGCGAGCGCCCCTATTAAGCCTAAATCTATCAATATAAAGGGTAAACGTTAAGTCCCGTTAAATGGAATTTCACTGACGTAGAAGTAGAGTGTGAAAACGCTTCCAAAAACAATCCTTGCTCGATGACTTCCGAGTTTCGACATCCTCGACAGAAAATAAAGAACGGCCCTTCTACATGAAGCATTTTCGCCAAGCTTCATAACCTTAGAGAATCCGAAAAGCCTCACACAGGCACGAATTTCACGAGCTACAAAGTATTATTAGGGTCGCTTGGTGAGATATGACGAAAAAGTACGAAGACGGTATACTGACATCCGCATAGCATCATGTCTACCCTTTCTCAAACTTCTCAGCGATATGCACGCTGGTTTTTTAAAAGCATATTGGACTTCGGACCCACAACTTTAATAAAAACCCCTAGTTCTGCATGTTTGGAAACAAGCTATGGCCAAAACTGTTGAGTTCGCTCTTTCAGCGGAATCCTTTTCAGAATTTCTTCGGTTCAAATCTAAATATGAGCCAACAAGTCCTATGGACAAGGACGCAAAACCTGTCCTCTCTAAATTGTTCCCGTTATCCTCTCTTTGGAAAGAGTTTCTTTGGAATTTTCTCGAGGACAGCCAGCGGAAATACATGGGCCATTAACACGCCCCTGCGGACTTACTACGGCTTTGTCGAGATCAACTCCGGCATATCAGACATAGAGAAGATGTAATGAAGCAACTGCATCGACATCGAGTTGGGGCTGAATCATTCAACTGTCGTCTCCAAGAGATTTGCTCGAGATGTGGCTCTTCGATTTTGCCGTTGGCTTACTTCACCTTTCAATGAGACTAGTAAAGAAAACGGAGATGCTTCTTGGGCTAATGACGGCATTTGCAAGCTTGCATGAAGTTGATGCTTTGTCCGCTCTGTTGTCGGAGGCTGGCCGATACCGTAACAGATATCATTGGGAAAAGGCGCCAAGGGCCGGCTTTGTCTGTTGAGAGTTTCATTATCCTTTACTGCCGCGAAGTGGACGGCTGAAAGCTTGTGTTACGATTAATCAAAGCTCCACCAAGTCTTGCATGCTTTTAATTAACCCTCTTTGTTTCGTCTAGTCATATATAACCAAAAGTAATGACTGCGTCTCGCCATTAACAAGACATCACATCCTTTCGTTCAATCTGACGAGTCGAAGAACTATCTCACCTGGAGCCATGGGCCCATGATCTACAGTTTGGGATGCTATGAAACCTTACACATGCACCCGCAATTACGAAGCCACAAAAAGCGCAAGAGTGGGATCTGTGCAGATAGCAGGGATTGCTGCAATGATCAAAAAAATGGAGAGCAGATCGTAGATTAGGATCGGAGCGGGGTGCATATTTAGGCTGATGTGCATGAGACAGAGAATTATTTGCGGAGATGGTTGCACAGCAAATTTGCTTCCGAACGAAGTAAAAAGCAATTTGAAATGTTAACCAGAAATATTTATAACGAATATAATGTAGGTGGCTTGGAACCTCAGCAGCCCGCATATCTAGGCTGCTTATGGTTCCTGTTGAGGCTTGTACACGCTTCATGTAAGGTTTTCTTAAGCATAAACATTCCATAAAACCCATTTCATTTTCACTTCATACCTTGAGATATTTGAGACCAAAGAGTCCGTTTTACGGTAGTATTTGGTGATTCCCCATAGACAGCCACAGAGCCATGCTTCTGACTGACTGAGAGTATGAGAAGTTTAATATTTTACAGTCCAGAAGCAACTCAACTACTTTCTTCCATGTTTCCCAAGGCATCCATTACCTGCACAATGCTCTCTGGTAATGGGCCCCTCTTAACCGCCTCACAGTTTTTATTCAGCTGCTCCAACCTACTTGCGCCAAGAATAATCCCATCTCCTTCCCTCAGCGCCGAATGCCAGCAGATCCATCTCAAGCAAGCTTCAACATTTCCGATACCTTCCCTTTTGAGTGCATCTTGCAAAGCTTTCACTGCAGTGTGCATCTCGTGCCTGTCATATTGGACCCGCAGGTACTGTCCCATGACGTTGCCATCACTGAAGCGAGTGCCTGCGACATCACCAGTGGTGAGGCGCCCGGTGAGAAAGCCGCCTGCAAGAGGACTGAAAAGTTATGTTAAGATGTGTGATGTAGAGTTGAAAGGCTTGCTAAAAATTAGGAGAAGGGAAGCTTACCTAAATGCAACAAACGCAATCCCGTGTCTGCGCAGTATAGGAAGTAAGTCCTTCTCTACGTCGCGACAGAGTACATTGTATTGGCCTTGGTACACAGAAGGCTTGATGAAGCCATGCCGGTCGCAGATGGTGAGGAAATCTTGCAACATCTCGGGACTGAAATTTGAAATCCCGAGCTATACTCATACAAGAGAATGGTTAGTGATTAATCTCGCTGTACATAAAACGGGAGTAAACAAAATGTCTTTTACCTGCTTGAACAGACCACGCCTGAATTGCGCATCTAGCCCACCGGCCTGTTCCTCCAATGGGGTCTGCGGGTCAGGACAGTGACAGTAGAGCACATTGACATTGGCCTAGTGATTTGTTAGCTCATACCCAGAGCAAGGACACGGCTAGAACAAATGTACATCTTCACCAAGTTTCAATCTCTGATAACTCCCATCTAGCGACCTTCCAACGGCCTGGGGCGCCAGACTGCCTGACCCATCGCCAAGTGGGATTATCTTGGTGTCAATGGCAAAACCTTGCTTTGCTGCGCTAACCTCGCCAAGTAGAAGCTCTGACGTTCCTGGGCGAGGTGAGGGGTACCTTGCTGCGGTATCGATTCGATGGATTCCAAGAGTTTGCAGTGTTGAGAGGAGATCAGATACGGCGGAGACAGTGTTGTAGGCATCGCCAATTGATGCGCCACCAAAGATGAGAGTAGGAGGAGAGGAGAGTAGCAGCATATCCTGTTCTCAACATCAGGTATACAAGCTTAATTTCATGGAAAATGGAAAATTCTCTTCATGATCTAACTCAAGCTTTATACCGTCAGTCGAGTAGCATAGAACTTTGATGACAAACTGTCGTAGCAGTAGATCTACAAAGGATCTGCCTACGCGAGCGGAGACCAGGAACACTCCAGAGGATCCTCTTCGCTTCGAGAACAACAACGCCAATCAATGTCTTGATTTCCTCTATCCGCCCCACGTCGCTCCACCTATCGGCTCCAGGGGCTTCGGATCCGGGGCCATGGCTTTCCGTTCGCTTGGTAAGCGACTCAAGGGCCCTGCTTATGCATATTACAAAGAGGTTTATGCATGGTGTCGGCGATTAAATCGGATCGATATTCATCCGCCGCCCGGTGCCTCAAAGCAATATCTTTCGGGTGTTATGGTGGGCTAGCAATCTCATAGCCTCGAAATGTAGGTGGTTGCTTTAAGTAGTTGTTCTGACATACTTATATCGTGTATGCGTGGATATAATATGTCGTGCGGTCGACGGTCGCGGACGAGAAATAGTTTGTCCTGGATGGCAATGTTGTCAAAACCTATTCATGGAGTGCGTATAAGCCGTTAGCCTCATAGAACGCAGAAGGTAGAATCCAGCAGGACCAATTTGCTGTTACCTTCGTAATCATCCTAGGTCTTGTATTCTAATACCTACAAGTGTATACTCCGGCCAGGCCTCCCAGTCACCCGCCCGCTCCCGCCCGGGCCCTTTGGGCGGGCGGGCTGAAGACGGGCGCCTAGGCGGGCGGGCGGGCGGTAGGCGGGCGGGTAGGTCGACTTAAGGTTTAACGTTGATTGGTTAATAGACGA